TGCTGCTGCTGCTGCTGCTGCCCCGCCCCTCTTTTTCTCCACCGGGGGCCCCACGATCCCGCGGCCGCACATCTTCTACCAGCATTTCCAGCTCCTGCGCGCAGCCGCAGCAAGCCTTTTTCCGCACCTAGCTAGCTGGCTAGCTAGCTAGCTAGCCAGCTAGCTGGCTAGCTGGCTAGCTGCACTAGCTATGGTGAGTGAAACGAACTGCAGCCTGCAGCCTCCCCCTACTGGCTTCACTCCACGCGTCCTGGCTGGCTAGCTGGATAGCTAAGTGGCAGCTAGCTAGCTAAATGCCTAGCTGGCTAGCTCCGTAGCTAGCTGGCTAGCTGGCTCGCTAGCTGCCCAGATAGGCCGCCAACTGGGTAGGTAGCTGACAAGCTCTCTAGCTAGCCATTTAACTAGCCATTCAGCTAGCCAGCTAGCTGGCCAGCACATCAGCCAGCCATCCAGCTAGCTGGCCAGCAAACAACCTAGCTACCTGGCCAGCTACCGAGCCAGCTAGTTTGTCACGTAGCTAGCTAGCCAGCTACCTAGCTAGCTAGCTAGCTAACTAGCTACCTAGGCAGCTACCTAGTTAGCTACCCAGCTAGCTACCTAGCCGGCTAGCTAGCTAGCTAGCTAGCTAGCTGTGGGGGGCCTACGTCTAGGCTGCTGGCATGCATGGCCTCGAAGACCCGGAGTCTGTCCCGCCAAGTTGCTGCTGAGACAGTCTGCGGCAGCCAGAATATGTTGTCTCCTGCTGCTGCTGCTGCTGTTGCTGCTGTTGCTGCACTCTCGAGCCCCATCAGCCACAGCAGCCGCCTCAGGGGCCTTTGCGTCTGCAGCGCTGCGAACCAGCTCAGGCCCTGCAGCGGCAGCACGCGCTCCTGCTGCTGCTGCTGCTGCTGCTGCACCTGCTCTTGCTGCTGCGAGCGCTCAAGCTGCTGCAGCATGGCCTTGAAGGCCCCCACGAGGTCTGCCAGCAGCTCTTTGGGCTCCCGGCCTGCTGCTGCTGCTGCTGCGGCCTCCCGCGCTGCTGCTTGCCTGCTGCTGTCTTCGTCAGTAAACAAGTTGCTGCCCTCCCCTGCTGCTGCTGCTGCGGCTGCTTCTG